ACCACTAACAGTTATCTTTGTGTGTGTGTGTGTGTGTGTGTGTGTGTGTGTGTTGCTGGGAATTGAACCCAGGGCCTTGTGCCTGCAAGGCAAGAACTCTACCAACTGAGCTATATCCCCAGCCCAGTTTTCTCTTTTGATAGGGGAAAAAATTCCAACTCTACTACTTACCATATATGTGATTGGCAAGTTATTTAATTTATCTGTATCTCAGTTTCCTCATCTGTAAAATGGGCATGCTAGTAAAACCTATCTCATCAGGTTACTCCAAAGATTAAATGAATACCCACATGCCTGACACAGAAAAAGTGTGCAATAAATATTAGATAGTTCAGTGATACAACTTTTTCTGCAATTTGTTAAATCTGAATCTAGGATCCTCCTGCATACATGCAGAGGTTTGGAGCTGTCCAATAGAAACTAAGGGGACCTCATCCTCTCTGAACCTTCCTGGGAGTCTGGTCCCATGGTGTCCTCCCTACACTAGTCTAGGTGACTGCCTGAGCAGTCCCAGAAATATGGATTTCTTCCAGTTCACCCTGGGTGGGCCAGGCAGGCAGTCTCCTGGGACCTCTTGAAGCCAGATTTAAAGTTAGGTAGTCAGTGTAGTTAGATAAATCGGGTCTAATACGGAGTGAAATCTAAAATGGAGGCCATGCTGAGAATGATTCCAGGAAAAGCAGGACAACTCATGGAATGTTAATGAAGTCCCGAAAAGGCCCTAGGCCAAAGTCCACCTCAAAGAAATGTTAATGAACAGCCCCCAGCAAAAAGGTGCTGACTCAGAAGTCCTTCCTGACCAGATTACTTCTTTGGCCCACCTGTGTCCCACCCCTCGGGCCTTCCCACCTACATTCCATCACTGAAAGAACTATAAAAAGGGGAGACAACATCCCTTCCACGGATTCCACCTCTTGGGTCCCCTTCTTCCTCCGGGAGAAGTCTTTTCTGCTGTCCTTTAATAAACTTCTAATTTCTACTCTGTCCTTGCCTCGGCGTGCTTCTTTGGTGTTATTCTTCAACATCGGGGAAGCAAGGACTTGTCACCGGTCAACAGCGGTAACACTCTCTCCCCAGTTCTTCTCCATGGTCCCTAAATTCCTGATGAGCAAAGCCAAGCGGCAGGCAGGCAGTGCCTGCCCAGCCTGTCTACCATCTAACAAGGCAGTAACTTCAGGTGTTGACTTCTTTATGGGGCCTTCTTGGACTCCGGTAGTTTGGTCACGAACAGGGACTGAAAAAGTGGCTCTTTGCGGGGGTGGGGGAACAGGCCTGAGTTCTAGTCCTTTATTTGCTATACTTGTTCCAGGAAAATACACATCATTTCTCTTGGTCACTCATTCATTCATCCTTCAACAACTATTCATTGAGCATTTACTTGGTGCCAGGCACTATTCTAGGTGCTTGGGATGCATAGCAACACATGGACATCCCTGGTGGCAGGAGACAAGCAAGTAATTTATATTGTGTTGGAGAATGTCAAGTGCCGTGGCAAAAAGGAAAGACACCGGTGGAGAAGGGGGCAGGTTCCCGTATTTTATAGGGTGTTGGGGTGGACCTCACTGACAAGGTGAGATCTGAGTGCAGGCTTGAGGGAGGTGAGTAGTTGCAGGTCCATGTCTGCAGGAAGAGTCCCCGACAGAAGGCAGGCCAGAGCTGTTCCTACGTGGAAACCTGCCTAGTTGTCTGAGGAGCAGTAAGGAGGCTGGGTGGCCGAGTGGTCTCGGATTTTACTCTGAGTGGAAGATGAAGCCAGGGGAAGGTTTTGAGCAGAGGAGGGCTGTTATCTGACTTGTGTATTAAAAGGATGGTTGGACTTGCTGCAATGAGAATCTGTTCAACTGGGGAAGATAATCCCCGGGGACTGCTGTGAAGGTCAGAGGGGAGACTGGCTGGAGAAACACTTTTTAAAAATGTTTTTATTAGAGCCTGAGAGTTATACACAGTAGTCGGGTTCATCCTGACAAACATGGAATTCCATTACAGTTCACCATTTCCCTTTTTCTCTCCCTTTTCCCCTCCATTCTCCCTCCCCCCACCCTCATTCTCCCCACCCCCTCTCCTTCCTCTATTCTGCTGGACATCCTTTCCTTGTCTATTTATATTTGATTGGTTCTTTTTACTTATACATAGAAGTGTGAAATTCCCTGTGGTGTATTTATATATGCACAGAACATGGTTTTTAAGAATTCATTGTGCACTGCCTCCCCTTTCCCAACCCTCTACCTCTGCACTACTGATCTGATCTTCCCTGCCTCTTTTTGATATTTTATCCTTCCCATTTTTTTTTTTTTTTTTTTTTTAGTACCAGGGATTGAACCCAGGGGCACTTAACTTTGAGCCACATACATCCCCAGCTCTTCTTATGTTTTCTTTAGAGACAGGGTCTCACTGAGTTACTTAGGGTCCTGCTAAGTTGCTGAGGCTGGATTTGGACTTGCTCCATCCTCCTGCCTCAGACTCCTGAGACACTGGGATTATAGGAGTGCACCACACGCCAGGCTCCTCCTTTTTTATTTTATGCTGTCTTCTAGATATGGAAGAAAACATTCCACCTTTGAGTTTCTAAGTCTGGCTTTTTTCACTTAGCATCATGATGTTTTCCATTTCCATCCATTTACTAGCAAATGCCATAAATTCATTTTTTTTTTATGGCTGAGTACAACTCCATTGTGTATATATACCACAATTTCTTAATCCATTCATCTACTGACAAGCATCTTAGTTGATTCCATAATTTAGCTATTATGAATTGTGCTGCTGTAATACGTATTGAAGTGCATTGCTAAAGTATGCTAATTTTAGTTCTTTTGGGAAAATACCAAGGAGTGGGATAGCTGGGTCATATAGTGGTTCTACCCCTCTTTTTCTTTCTTTCTTTTCTATTTTTTTTTTTTTTTGGCGTGCTGGGGATTGAACCCAGAGTCTTGTGCATGCTAGGCAAGCACTCCACCAACTGAACTATATCCCCAGCCCTACCCCCTTGTTTTCTGAGGGATCTTTATACTGCTTGTCATGGTGGTTGGATCTACTAGTCTGAGGTCCCACCAACAATGTACAAGCGTACCTTTCCCCACTACCTTGCCAGTATTTTTTTTTGCCAGTATTTATTATTACTTGTATTCTTGATCATTGCCATTCTGAGTAAGTAAGATGAAATTTTAGTATAGTTTTGATTTGTATTTCCCTGTTTACTAGAGATGTTGAACATTTTTTTCACATATTTCTTGACCATTTGTGTTTCTTCATTTGAGAAGTTTCTGTTTAGTTCCTTTGCCTGTTTATTGATTGGGTTATTTGGTTTTTGGTGTTAAGTTTTTTTTAGTTATTTATATATTTTGGATATTAATTCCCTATTGTTGGAGTAGGTGACAAATATTGTCTTCCATTTTATAGGCTCTCTCTTCACATTCTTAATTGGTTCCTTTGCTGTGCATAAGCTTTTTAATTTGATGGCAATCCATTTATTGACTCTTGGTTTTATTTTTTGAGGTTTAGGGGTCTTGTCAAGGAAGTCTGTGCCTACCCCTATGTGACGGAGTTAACCCTGTTTTTATGTATCAGTTGCAAGGTTTCTGGTCTAATTCCTAAGTCTTTGGTCCATTTCAATTTGACTTCTGTGCAGGGTGAGAGATAGGGATCTAGTATCATCTTTTGCTATCCAGTTTTGGGAAAGCACTTTGTAATAAAAGGCCCTATATATAGTTACAATGTTCTGGGAAAAGAGGGGCTCTGCTCTTTCCCATCCTACTTAAGAGGCAATTGAGCTCCCGTTGAGGAGTACGGCTTTCACATCTGGGACTCCCCCAACTCTTCCCTAGGGTGAAGCACCATCTGGCAGGTAGGTAAAGGCATGGCTTTGGACAACTGCTGAGTGGGACTGAGTCCTGCCCCTGTGACTCAGTCATTCAGCAATATTTATTAAGTAGCATTTCAGTGTCAAGCAGGATCTGAACTGGTAGCTGGGGCAGAAGCATTTAGAGCCAGCCAGGGTTGGAGTGAGGATTGAGTCTGTGTGGGGATGGGGGTGGAGGTGTCAGATATTAGCTGAAGTGCAAGCTATCGATGGCTGGGGGAGGGGGTCAAGAGTCAAGCTGTGGCCAGGACAGGTTGCAACCTGAGGTTGCAGGCAGGGGGAGCAGCCTCCTGGCTGCAAGCTGGAAGGGCAGGCCTGATGGGGCTGCAGCCTTGAGTGTGGGGAAGAGGGGAGGAAGAGTGAAAAGTCCAGAGGAAGAGTGGACACAGCTCAGCCCAACTGTACATGGAAAGAGGGCGGGACCAAGATGCCACTGAGACTTCACGTGTGGGTGATGGAGAAGTGATGATGTTGTTCATAAAAACAGGAAGTTCTTGGCATATTTGAGGAACAGAAACAAGTACAGTGCGTTTGAGTGCAGCGAGCAAACAAGTGAGGGGAAGCCAGGAGAGGGGTTTCGAATGGCACTGACGACACAGGCCTGGGCCAGACCATGCAGGCCTGGGCTTCTTGGGAATTATTCTAGACATGGTGGCCAGCCAGGGGAGGGCAGGGGGCAGGCAGATGCTGGCTCTGGCTCATTGAGGATTGATGTGTGGAAGGGTAGAGAATTAAGGGGGTCAGAGTGGGACTCTGGAAGCTAGTTAGGAGTCGAGGAGTTTAAAGAGTGGTGACTTCAGGTGGTGATGGAGATGGAGAGAAGGGGAAAGATTTGAAAGCTGTTTTGAAGGTGGAAATGTTAGGACTTGGAATGGGAGAGGGGAGAGAGAAGTAAAGATGGTACCCATGGTGATGGCCACTGAGATGGGGAAGACTGTGAGAACACATCCTGAAATAGGTAGAACCCAGAGTTCTGTTCTGGCTGGGCTCTGCGGACGCCCACGTGCAGACATCAAGTAGACAGCTGAGGACACCACTCTGAAATTTAAAAAAAGCGAACATACATTTGCGAATGCTCAACAGGCAGACAGTATTTAAAGCCAGAAGATGAGGGCCATGCTCTGAGGAGCCTCTGTGTTTACAGATTGGCTGGAAGAGCCCTGAGCAGGGAGGATTCCATCTTCTACCTCAGTAAAGGCTTGGAGGAGGAAATGATCACCTGGGTCAAATACTGCTCAGAGGACAAGCCAAACAGGGAAATACCCACTGCGCTTGGCCACATGGAGGTGATTGGCAACACTGACCAGAGTAGGTTTGCAAATTGATGTGGGGGGTGAGTGGAACCGTATGTGAGGGGAAGCAGGGGCAGGACAGCAGCTGGGAGGGGACATAGCAGGGGCATGTGTATGAGTGTGCTTGTCTGCCAGGGGAACACCACAGCAGGATGGAGAGGCTGATGAGGCAGCTGAGGGAAGGCACTAGGAGGGGTCCCTACACAGCCAGCACTGTGAGCCCCACCGTAAACATGGGACAGAAGGAACAGGAATGGCTTCTGGTTAGGTCCTGAATTGCCTCTCCAAGAAGCCGAACCAACTGACACCCTCTATTTTTCCTGCTCCCTAGGACTCAGACCATCCTCCTCGGCTTATTTCTTTCACTCTGCTACCACTTCCCCTATCCAGTGAGCTGGAGGGAGAGTGGAACTCCTGAATCACAGGCCTAGCTCCTGACTCTTATGGGTCCTGGAAGAGCTCTAGTTACCTCCTCATTCATTCATTTATGTTTTTATTTGTTTGTTTGGTACCAGGATTGAATCCAGGAGTGCTTAACCACTAAGCTGCCACAGTCTGGCTGGGCACAAATGCCGCAGTCTGGCTGGGCACACAATCACGAGCCACCACACAGCTTGTAGATTCAAACAGCAACACTTTATTCCCAAACTCACACCAGCCGTCTACAAACACGTTCTGGGGAAATCCACGTTCTCTGCCCAAATCCACGTTCTCTGCCCAAATCCACGTTCTCTGCCCAAGTTCCCCTTTCTCTGCCCAAATCCACCTCCACTGGGCTTCTATCTCCAAAATATACTGTCTAAATCCCGTGAGAACTCAAGGGGAACTCAGGCAGCAGGATACGCCCTATTCCCAGCAGGAATAATCTTAAACCTTAAACCTGGAACCTAAACTGGGAACGCCCTAAACACGATTATCTTAAAACCGGGAACACCCTAATCTGCCTTGGTCCTTGAGCAAGGTCACCTACATTCAATGTCGCTGCAACATGTCAGCAACATGGGGTACGCTGGCAAGAAAATTGTCATACCTACTTGGCTAATGGCTCCCAACACTAAGCCACACCCCCAGTGCTTTTCTATTTTTTATTTTGAGGCAGGGTCTAATTTGCCCAGCCTGGCCTCAAACTTGAGATCCTCCTGCCTCAGCCTCCTGAGCTGCTGGGATTACAACTCACATGGATAACTTCGACCTCCTTTACTCTCCAGACAGGCTTAATACAAATCCTACCCAGGAATGAAGGCTTTCGAGCATTTTCTCACATCTCTGATATTCTGCTTTCATGCCTCTAGAGTCAGTATGCTTACTATTTCCATGAAGAAACCAATGGAGTCAATAGAACAGCAGAGCAGTTCAGTGCATGGATCTGATCCAAGTTGCTTTGGTTAAATTTTAACTCTGCTACCTACTAGCATCTTGTACCTCAGTTTCTTCATCTGCAAAAAGGTAATAATAGTAGTATCTCTCTTTTTTTTTTTTTTGTGGTGCTGGGGATTGAACCCATGACCTATATCCCCAGCCCCAGCAATATCTTTTCCTAGTATGATTATGAGAATTAAATAAGATGCTACATTTTAGTTGCTTGGTGTTATGGTTTAAATCTGAAATATCTCCAAAAGCCCATGCTCTGGGAGTATGGTCCCTAATGTAGCAAGGTTTGGAGGTGGGGTTTTTAGGCAATGATTGAATCATGAGGGCTCTGACCTCATCAGTGGATTAATCCAACTGATGGATTAATACATGCATAGCTGGACTGACTACTAGGAACCTGTTTGGAGGAAGTAGGCCACTGGGAGCATGCTCTGGAAGGGTTTATCTTCTCTCTGGCCCCCTCCTCTCATTCTTTGCTTCCTGGCTGCCATGAGCTGAGCAGTGTCCTCTGCAATGCCTCTCTGCCATGTTTCTCTGCCTTGGAGCCAGCTGATAATGGATTGAATCTTCTGAAACTATGAGGTATTTTGGTCACAGAGACAAAAGGCTAACACAGTAAAGGTTTAAAAAATTTACATCTACTAACATCATCAAAATCAATGTTATATTCCTGAGTAGAGCTATAACTTACCTCCCATAACCATCACACTTTAAGTCTAGCCCACCCTCTCATTCACTTACCTGCAGGTTATTCTATTGTTCTGCATTTCTCAATTTTTGTTTTTTCCTGAAGCCAGGATTTTTAATCCAAGGTCAATTACTCATTGTACAAACATGATTTTCCTAAGACCATTGTTTCTCCCTTACAGAGTCACTGATTGTTTCCCAAGCAGGCTCAACTTTGTCAAACGCACAACTAGGGGTGGGAGCATGGTAGCTTCAAGGCTTGTGCTCCTGCCCTCACAGGCCTGTATATTGTATCCCCTAGATTTGGAATCTCTGTCAGTGGGTCCCTTTGTTTATATACCCTAAGTATCTACTATTAGAGTAGGATTATATTATGATGAAGAGCCCAGCTTCTGGAGCCAAACAGCTAAGGTCAAATCCAGTGGTGTGATCTGGGCTGACAGTCTCCCAAAGCCTCAGTTTTCTCATCTGAAAAATGGGACTAACATTAATCTAGCCTATTTCATAGGGTACTGTGTGGAGTAAGAGAATGTGTGTAAAACACTCAGCATAGTACCTACCTCAATAAATATTTAGTATGAATGTCTAGGGCTATGCTATTTAACATGGCAGCCATAGCCACATGTGGTGGTTGAGCTCTTTAATATATGGCTAGTCCAAACCAGAAAAAAAAATTTTTTTTCAGTACTGGGGATTGACCCAGGGCCTTGCACATTCTGAGTAAGTACTCTACACTGAGCTACAACCCCAATCAGCTAGTCCAAATCAAGATACATTGAAAGTATAAAAGACACAATGGATTTCAAATTTAGTACAAAAAGAGTAAAATATACTTATAATAGTTTCTTTATATTGATTACATGTCATAAAAATATTTTGGACATGTTGGGTTAAATAAAATATTACTAAAATTAATGTTGTTTTTATGCTTTATTAATATGGCTACTACAAAATTTGAAATTACATATGTGGCTCATTTTGTGGCTTGCATTATATTTTTTTGGTGCTAATTCTAATGGGTTCTGCTGTTTTTCAGTAGGGGAGAAGAGAGATTTAAATTTTACTGATTGCAATTATCTGAGCTGCAAGGGCTCTTTGAATAGCATAGAGTCCAACCTCCTCTCTATAAAGTTAAGAAAAGGCCTAGAAGAAATGTGATATGCAAGCTGGACTTGGTGGTACATGTCTGTAATCCCAGTGAAATCAGAAGGTTGAAGCAGGAGGACAGCAAGTTGAGACAAGTCTTAGCAATGCAGTGAAGTCCTCAGCAACTTAGCAAGACCCTGTCTCAAAAATGAAGCCATCCCTTCATTTTTGAAAAATGAAGAGGGCTGGGGACATGGTTCAGTGGTTAAGCACCCCTGGGTTTAATCTCCAGTCCCAAAACAACCACAACAACAACCACAACAACAACAAAAGAAATATGCAGGACTGGAGATATAGCTCAGTGGTAGAGCACTAGTCTAGCATGTGTGAGGGTTAGGATTCAATACCCAGCCCCAAAATAAAATTAAAAAAAAAAAGGAAACAGAATTAGAACCAATGCACCCACATGGCAGACAGTTCCTGCCACAACGATGCTGCCACCTCGTGGTCATCCATATATAATAGATGCAAACTCCTATAGCAACTGGGCTCCCTTCAGATGCAGGACTCTGCTACCATCTACTTCTCAACCTCTGCAGACATGAGGACAGAAAAGGTCTGCCTCCTGTGACCCTTGGCAGCCACACTGCTCTAGACGGTAGGGTGATTAAGAGCACAATTTGTGGCTATAGGTGTGCACTGTTTCAGGTGCTGGGATACGTAGTGACCTCATTAGACAAGTCCAGTAATTGCCCAGGCTAGGGCTCTAATGTGAGGTTTGTGGACCAATGTCAGCACTACTTGGGAACTTATTAGAAATGCAAATCTTCAAGCCTTCAGCAGAAACCATGGGATCTGAATCTGATGAATGCTCGTGTTGGAGAAGCATTGGACTTGGTGATAAAAACATATATCAGGTGGCATTAAGGGCTATAAATACAGCAGAGTAAATGAATAACTGGAGAATGATGGCCAGAGGTGAGGGATGCTAATGATGGCCAGATCAGGGAAGATCTGGCTAATAAAATAACAAGTTCCAGCAAAGATCTGAAAGCGAATACCTGGAAGAAAGGAAGAGGCAGGACATGATTCACTGCAAGATACTTCCTGTAAATCACACACACATACAACTCTGCCTACATCTCCTCACCTTACAGCCCACAACTTAATCACATGAACCACACCTAGCTGTCCAGGGAAGCTGAGAATTTGTATTTTTCTTTCTTTTTTTAAATGTTTTTCGGCACCAGGGATTGAACCCAGGGGCTCTTAACTACTGAGCCACATTCCAACCCTTTCTATTTTATTTTTTGAGATATGGTCTCACTAAATTGCTGAGGCTGGCTTTGAACTTTTCAATCCTCTTGTGTCAGTCTCTTGGGCCACTGGGATTTCAGGAGTGAGCCACCATGCCTGACTGAGAATTGTAGTCTTTATTCTGATCAGTCATACATCCAGCTAAAAATTAAGATTCCTAATTACAATAGAAAATGAAGAGATTGTTTCTGCCACAATGATTCTGGCGTAATCAGCCTAGGGGGGGTGTGGGTCTTGTTTTTCATGTATATGCCTCCAATCATGGAGAGATTCCTACTCATGAAGTGGTTTTATTCTATTAGCAGCTGTTATAAAACTCTTTATTTGAGGTTCAATTCTATTTTCCACAACTCCTACCCACTGGCTGACTTCTATTCCTCCCTCCCTTTCCTTTCCTTTCCTTCCTCCCTTTTCTTTCCTTCCTCCCTTTCAGTACTGGGGACTAAACCCAGGGGCATTCTACCATTATTATATCCTCCTTTTTGTTTTGTTTTTTTTAAAGATAGGGTTTCATTAAGTTGCTCAGGCTGGCATCAAAATTATGATCCTCCACCTCCATCTCCAAGTCACTGGGAGTAGAGGTGCATGCCACTGCACCCAGCAACTTCTACTACTTTAGAGCTATATCAACAAGTCTGCTGCCTCTTCCCCCAAGATACAACTTTGAGTCCCTCATATATCTTCTTCTTGGGCCACTTAAGGCCAACAATATTCCCCTGAATTTATATTTTGAGAAAGGTTTTACTGATCCTGCATCAAGAGACTGAATTGCTTTGATAGTACCTTCTCTGGGCAACAGGAGGCTACCACCCCATGTACCTGGGTGAACGAAGGTTGATTGGAAGACAGAAACATCTAGTGAGACTAATGTTCTCAGGAAGAATTCAGAGGAGGTTTTCCAGAAGTATATTTAGTTTCAGTCCTCTTGCAATTGTCTCTCTGTTCTGTAATTTCTTCAGATTTATTTTGGAGATCAGTAATTCTTCCTTCAGCTGCCATTTAACCTATCCACTGAGCATTTAATTTCAATAATTACATGTATTTTTCCGAGAATTTTCTTTGGTCTTTTTCACATGTACTTAATTATTATTTATAGCTTTTGCCTGGTCTTTTTTTGTTATTCCACTGTGTATTTCCTTAAACATTTCATACACAGTTGTTTTATATCTTAATACCTTAAGTCTTTGGGAGTATCTAAGTGTTTGATATTTCTGCTCTCTTGTTCTTGTTTTCGTGTGTACTGACTTCTTTGTAGTGGGAAACTGGAGGGCCTCTGTTGTGAATGGCTTTCAAAGATTGGCTTTTGTTTCTGCCAAGAGTTTAGGAACACTACTTCCTGGGCCTACATTAGCCTAGAGATTCAGATTATCTCTGGCATCATGTGAATGTTGAGCTCCCTCACCTTGGTTTGGGGGTGTAGGGACAGAGCCTCAGCTCAACCCCCTGGCTAAGGAGCCCAATTTGCTCTCAGGGCTGGCTCAGCCTTCTTTGACTGAATCTTTCTGTTCCCTAATCCATTTCCATCTTGACATCCTGTATCTTTCTCATTTCTTTAAAGCCCTTGGAGATCTCCTTTGGAGCCCTGGAATACACATTTTGTTTTAATTTATCCAGGATCCAGAAAAGTCCTTCAAAGTACCACTTGGCTGAACCACAGAAGAGGTAAGTATATTCATCCATCTTCCTACAATTCATCAAACAATCTAACAATCTTTATTGAGCCCCTACTTTGTGCAAAATTGGCCAGGTGCTGGGTAGCAGACAATGAGCAAGGCATACTCCTTGCCCTCTCAGAGCCCATGTCAGTGGGAAAAAATAGGCTATTACACTAGAGGGTGGCCAATGGTGTCATGTGGGAATAGAGGCACTATGGGAATTCAGTGGAGGGGTATCCTGAGGGGCAGTGAGGAAGGAAACTCAATGGGTGAGAAGAGCTGGTTCTCAGATGAGCAGAAGACAATAAGGCCACATGAAAGTGAGCAAATGCCAAAGGAGCCAAACTGAGGGTGGAGAGGCCAGGGAAGGACTGGGGAATTAGAAAAGGGAAAGGAACTGTTTGGCTTGGGCAGTGTGAGGGAAGGGTGAAGGGTGTGACCAGCTGGGGCAGACAAAACACTGAGATTCCCTGAGGAGTCTGGATTCTATTCTGAATAGATCAGGGTGGGGCAGTGACTTAACAGAAGGGAACAGCAGTTAGCATTTACTTCCACAGTGCCCAGAATGGAAGCAGGGACCTCAGGCTTGGCTCTACTGCAGAGCTTAGCCTCCAGCCCTGCAGTATGGCCCAAGGATAGGATGGGGCCAGAGAGAAGACAGGAAGTCTTGTAAATGGTGGTGAAGTGAGGCCTGGTGGGGTTGCAGTCATAGCCGTCACCTTCAGGTTATGTACTCAGGCTGGGCTTTCAGGGTCTGAAGGTTCAGTAGGCAACAGCCCCCATCAAGTTCTTTCCCACCTCAGTGGCTCATAGGCTGCCAAGTTCCAAACTGAGCTGCACAACTTACGAATTCCTGCAAACAAAACCCTGGCCCTGCTTCCAAAGACCTGGATGACTGCATTCCTGGTTACCAGGATACAGCAGAACAAGTTGCAATGTCCCATCACAGGAAATATAAAGAATGCTCCAGCAACTGCCAGCATTTTCCCACCAGGATTCCAGCCAGCTGTCCTTTATGCTGCTTGGCACAAGAACTGAAGAGGCATTAAGAATAGCAGCAGCTTCTTCAGTGCCAGGCACTGTGCTAAACACTTCCATCCTGTGATCCCCAGGCAGCAGTCATTGCAGGCGTTTTCACTAAATGGCTGACTCTGCCTAAGGTTGCAGGCTGAATCTGCGTACTAGGATTTTAATCCTGGCATAGCCACCTCTTGAGGGTCTCTGCCTGGGAAACAGACAGGATGGAAGCACCCCATTGAAGAAATTTTTAGATATTAAAAATTTACAAATGTTTCCATGTACCAGTCACCCAATTTTCTTACTGATACTATCTTATCTGTATTTGTCAGAAGAAATAAATGTTGGTACTTTCTAAATTCCTCTGGTCTTTGTCCTTGATTTTCATGACTTGTGACAATTTAAGGAGTATCTTGTAGAATGTCTTCTAATCAGTTATGGGTCTTTAGGAAAAAATATCAAAAGGTAAAATGCTCTTCCTACCATGTCAACCCAGAGGGCAAATATTGACATGATTTTTCACAAGTGATGCCAACTTTACTTTGGTTAAGTTAGTGTCAGTTTGCTCCCACAGTGAAGTTACTATTTTCCCTTTTTTTATATTCTTTGGAAAGTAAGTCACCCAGTTAGGCCCACTCTAAGGTAGAGTATCTACTTACATTTATTGGAATTCAAAGACTTATATCCCCTGGTCCCCATTTATTAAAATTTTTAAGATCAGTATGTGCCAGGTGCAGTGATGCATGCCTATAATCCCAGTAACTCAAAGCTGAAGCAGGAGGATCCCAAGTTTGAACCCTGGTAACCTGAAACCCTTTCTAAAAAAAAAAAAAAAAAAAGAATGGGGATGTAGCTCAGTAGTATAGTACCCCTGGGTTTAATTCCCAATAAAACACAATCAACCTGGAGTCACTATTTTATGTTTTATGCTTTGGGTTTAACCACATGCTTCATTTAAAAATGAAAAAAAAAAAAACACGGATTTTTAAAATGATTTATTAAAACATCATGCCAAGGTTAACAAATTTAGAAGAGACCACATAATGTAGATTTCATTTATAGTGAGATCCTGTCTCAAAATAAGAAATAAAAAGGGCTGGGGATGTTGCTCAGTGGCTGAGCATCCTTGGGTTCAATCCCTGGTACCAAAAACAAACAAAAAAACCAAACCACTGAATTGCATAAAGAGGTGATCTGTATGACTATTTAATAAGTGCAGCTTAAATCATTGTGGTGGTTCACACCTGTAATCCCACCAGTTCAGGAGACTGAGACAAGATGATTTCAACAGGCCAGCCTCAGCAAATTTGTCTCAAAATAAAAATGGCTGGATGTGGCCAGGCATGGTGGTACACACCTGTAATCCCAAAGGCTCAAGAGATTGAAGAAGGAGAATCTAAGTTCAAAGGCAGCTTCAGCAAGACTATTTCTAAACAGAAAATATATGGGCTAGGGTTGTGGCTCACTGGTTAAAAGTGCCCCCAGGTTCAGTTCCTAGTACCAAAAAAAAAAAAAAAAAAAAAAAGTTGGGTGTACTTCCTGTACTTATCTGGCATGCCTAAGGCCCTGGTACAGCAAAAACAAAAACAAAAAGTGCAGCTCAGGAGTTTGATTTTTGCCAGGTTACTTTCTACACTGGTTTTCTTAGCTGTTATCATGGTTTTCCATCACTTTAAGATTCAATGCATAATTAAAATAGGATCTGGCATGTAACTAATGTCCTTCCTCACAGTAATCCACTTGTGCCTCAGGTCAATCTGCTTATTCCCTTTGCCTGAATGCATTGCTCAAAACATGCCATCCAAGGTTCACCCCAACAGCAGCATCTCATCAAGGTTTCCCCTCTTGCTGATCTCCTCCTCCAGAACCACCTTGTGTTTTGGTGTACTCACCTCTCCAGTCCTGGACACAACATCCTCTCCTCTCCACTGGCCTGGCTAATCTCATTGCTCCATCAGTGGGCCCTACCTCCCCACCACAGGGTCCCGTGGCAATCCCTTGCAGAACATTCAGCACCATCTGGTGCCACTGTGTCCTTGGAGCTGGAATCAAGCTTCCGGAAAAGCAAGAACTTTTCTTTTTATTGCTGATGAGAAAATAGGACTTGGTGTGTATTTGTGGGGTGGCTGAATCTTTATGTACTTTATGTACCGATGTGGAACAATCTCTAAGATCTGCCAAGTAAAGAAAAGCAAGGCACAGCAGAGTGAGCTGCCCATTTTGCACAGAAGGTGTGGGGGGAGATACACGCCCACTTGTGTTTATATATGGCTCAGGCCTGGAAGGCTCCTCTTCTGCTCAGGCTACACTTGGATCAACAGTTCCCACTCTGCTCTGGCTCTTTAAGAATTGGTTCATTTTTAGAACCAACATCTTCATTTTCAAAACAAGGTCTCCAAGGCCTTGATTTGCTTTAGGTGACTGAGGAAGCTTAACACCACAACAAGCAAGTATGCAAAAGACCCAAGTAAGCCCTAGTACCTCACCTCTTCCAGGAAGCCAGTTTGCAGAACCCAGGTTCACCTGTTCTACACCAAGGGCCCAAACAGTTCCACTTATGTTCCTGCATGATGTCTTTTACATCTTCTGAAGCAATATAATATTTTGTCACTGCCCCAAGAACCTCATGTCAGCTCATGCCCTCATCACACCTAGATAAGTGAAGGGAAATAAATACCCCCTGGGTGGCTCCTACACAAGAAAAGACTAGTGTTGAAATAGCTTACAAGGCATTTATTAACAGAAAATAATCTGAGGAGTCCTGTTCACAGACGGCGACCACGGCGACCCCCCTTCCTGCGGGTGCTGTCGGAGGGGATGGGGGTGACATCCTCTGTGGGGGGAAGAGAAAACATCAGTGCCTGGAGCTGGATGGGAAGAACCCCAGGCCTCCCTAGGCCAATGGTCTACCCATTCAGCAGTAGATCCTACTGTTCTCCAAATGTGTTCCTATTATCAACAGATGAATGGGGAATTGTCCCACCTTCCACATCCTCAAAATCAGGAAGACAGATTTAGAAATGACACTAGGCCATCCCAAGCAGATGGGAAGAACACCATGCAGCTCTTTTCAGCAAATGTAACTGCCAAGAGACACCAAACCAGGCTCTGTACAAAATAGGAGCGGCACATGATTTCTGGTATCAATAAATACCCCTTGGGTGGCTCCTACACAATAAGGTTTCATTACATTTCTTGGAATTCTAAGACTTATATCCCCTGGTCCCCATTTATTAAAAAATTTAAGATCAGTATGTGCCAGGTTAGTTTCAAAACTAACCTGTGTTTGTGAGGGGGAGACTTACCAATCCGCCCAATCTTCATTCCTGAACGAGCAAGGGCTCTGAGAGCTGACTGGGCCCCAGGTCCAGGGGTCTTGGTCCTAGGAAGTAGAAGTTCAAGTAAGACAAGCCAATGGTAATCTCCATAAGATCTCATAAATTCTCTAATGACAAACCTCGTGTAAAGGACCAGACAATAAATATTTAAGGCTTAGAGGGGTTACTATCGCTTCTGTTACATAGCCAACAAACAAAAATTCCTTTAACTATTATTAGAGTAATTTGTACAGACAGTACAAAAAAAGAACAGCAGGTCAACCTAGTCATAGGTCAGTTTGCCCTGCTCTGTCTGCAGCCAGGTAAAGCCCCTTCCCTTCATGCCACATGCTGTGACCCTTAAGTCTTCTTTGCTGCTCTGTCCAAGACACTACCACTTCTGCATGGGACCACTTGAACAGCTTTCTATCTGGTCTATACCCTACCTGGTAATCATCTATTCTAGCTTTCATGCCCAATAAAGCCCAAATTGTTGTCCTGTTCTATAATACCCAGCAAGGCTCCACCCCTGCATCTCTCCAATCACACCTCATGCTACTTTCCTCCTCCTAGTTGCCCAAGCTCATCCTTACCCCAAGAACTTTTTCTTGCAACTGTCTCTAGCTGGAATACCCTCCTTCTGTCTTGCCCTCTCTGAAAGACTTCTGGATATCATTTAGGACTTAGTTGAAAATATGTCATCACTAACTCCATACATTCTCTTCCTAGTGTTTGCCACAAATAGAGGTCACACACTCACTGCTGCTCTATTTGCTTAAAGTCTGACTCTCCCACAAGCCTGAGTTGCATACAAGGAGGACAAAGGCATTATCTGCTTTCTTCCTTTACTCTTTTTTCTTTTTTTAGTATTGGAAACATAGTGACTGGTATACAGTGGGCACTTGATAAGGGTGGGGTACATCCAGGAGCCAATTATATGTATATGCCTAAAATATCTTGTTTCTGATTACAAAAGAAAACCAAATCTCTCAAATCTAAGTGTTCTGGCACCTAAGCCCAGTTGTCTTACCACCACCCATCTCTAGCCTTATATACCTGTTTCCTCCTGTGGCCCGGAGTTTGATATGTAGAGCAGTGATGCCTAGCTCCTTGCACCTCTGGGCTACGTCCTGGGCAGCCAACATGGCAGCATATGGAGAGGATTCATCTCTGTCAGCCTTCACCTTCATCCCACCTGTCACACGACAGATGGTTTCCCTGGGGACAAAAGCAGAGTCATTCTTTTTCATCTCCCAACAATGATTCACTAAGTGATTATCATGTCTAACAAATAAAGACTGCCACAACTCAGGTATGGCAGAGCTTGAGTCAACTTGAGCATATATCCTGATCCTGGACAAGAGAGTCATGAGCTCTGACTTCATGGGGTTCAGTTTAGTGGGCTGAAAGAAACAACACAGCTAAACCTTATATTTTACTTTTGCATTCAATCTTTAAAGATTAGTCTATGAGGTGTATTAATATCTTCATTTTATGTAGGAGAAAAATCAAAGTCAGAATCTGAATGACTTCACAAAGAATGTCTCCTTTTAATTCCTAGAAAATTATGCATTTTTGGACAAAACGAGCAAACACATTTCCTTACCTGGACAAAGCATTAATTCTTTAGAGAGAACTTCCTAAACTGGGGACATTTCTTCCCTCAGCCTCTTGCCAGGTGGGTTTTGTGCCTCTCCACCCAGGTACTCACTTGCCAGAAAGATCAGTGACGTGGACAAAGGTGTCATTGAAGGATGCAAAGATGTGGCAGACACCAAATACATTCTCTCCTTCCGCCACCTGAGGTCCAAGGCTGATGACCTGTTCTTCCTTCTTTTCCTTTCCCTTGCGAGGTGCCATTTCTGAATAAAAGAACCTTAGAGTTAATGACAAGATTTCCATAGCTAGGCGTGATGGTGCATGCCTGTAATCTGAGTACAGCTCAGGGGGCTGAGGCAGAAGGATTATAAATTCAGGGCCAGCCTCAGAAACTTAGTGAGGCCCTGTCGCAAGATAAAAAAATGAAAAGGACCAGGGATATG